TATCAAACTCTGCAGGTACAGGGCAGGTAGCCAAAGTAACAAGGAAAGTAACAAGGAAAGTATACCAAGACCAAACGAGCATGGTCCAGGCAAAAGATGATCAGGAAACACCATCAGCCACAGATAGGAACAAAGGACGCAGAAGCATATCTCAAGTTGGGGGACGCAAAGCTAGGTTTACCGGGAATTCAGATGAAACAAGCAAGTCAGAGGCAGACAGAGTCGGCTACAGGAAATCAGACCGTAAAAAGAGCTGGAGAGTCTTGCATGAGTGGTGAAGAACAATCAGGCAGTAAGTGTGTAAGCATGAGGCTTATGACAGGCTTGTTTGGGAATGAGATGAGGAGCACAGGTGAGCTAATGAAGTGGGAGGGACAGTGGGACGAGGTCGAGACGTGGTCGTGGAAAAGTACTGGGTTGCGGTCGAATGGTCAAAAAAATGGGGATATGGAGACGCGTGAAGGAGAATTAATCAGGACTTAGGAAAAGTAGTGCTGATCAAATCTGACTGCACTCAGACTGGGCAACGTAATGATACTGAACCAGCAGATATAATTGATGTGCATCTGCTTTGGGAAACAACAATTTTTCTTACAGCGGACTATTATGATCACATCTAGTTAATCTTCTCCGTGCTAAGTGTTTTATGCGGTCAATATGAATGTGGACAACAGTGACAAATATTCTCTTAAGTACCCAGGATGCTGAAACTTGTGATGCTTGATCGCACTCACCCTCACTCTCCTGTCCACACATATTAATCCAAATGACTCCCAATGATTATGATTGTAAGAACTATCAAAACAGTGGCGAATAATATTGTTGTTGAATTTACAAAATAACTGAATATGCAAAGACTTCAGGGACTTTCTCTATCGAGCTTGTTGACCTCAAACCCCTTGAACTCAGTCTAAATTAACCATCTCCAATTCCAAATAAGATGAAACAAAGTGACTGAAAAGCCGGAAAATATTTCAATGAGTGACTGCAAGGGGAAATAAAAAGATTTGGGGGGGAAACAGCTGCTTCCGCTTCGCTTCGATTGAACAAAAGAGCTGTCTGCACACTTTTATTATCTCTTTGATCACCATTTGGATGCAGTTCAAGCAGTTTGAATATCTGGTACAGCTACCTGGCATGATCACATGAACATGAACACTTGATAACATCTGTGACAAAATGTTATCTATTGAGCTTAGTGTGAAACCTTGTTGGCAATCAGTTGCTTAGTTCACATCCACTAGTTATGGAGCAACATTATAAATCATTTGTAGACGTCTGTATCCACCTGATGAAAGTGAGTCTGATAATCATTCTCTTTTAGCTCAGTTTTTGGTCTCTACAAACTCCAGAGGGAAATATCTGTCTCTTTAGCTGCTAATTGTCCCACTAAGTTTCCCAGCTAGTCTTTAACTGTGTCTCTGCTGCTGAGCAGGTAGGGTAAATGGGCTTTTTATGCATTTATTTTCTGAAAACAACACTTTGACAGTGGTGAAAGTAAAACAGAACAGAAATATTGCAGGCTGGACGGAAAAACAATAAGCTAAAAAACTAACTGTAAAGTCCCATAAACCTAAAGAGCTACACCTAACACATAATCATTTAATACATATATCAAAAATAAAGATTATATCTGCTTTATGTTCTGCAGTTTTGAATAAATATAAGTACATTACAGGTTTGGATCACCTGCAAAATGTGGCTCACACAGCTGTGGGAATCCAACAACTTGAGGATCTGACGCCTGAATGAATGAAGCGGCTGCAGAGCTTCATAGCCTCAGACAGATGGTGTTGTTACAGATATCTGCTTAAAGAGTGCGCCCTAAATCCCCTGCCTTCACACACACAGACAGCCAGCCAGAGATGTGTGTGTGTGTGTGTGTGTGTGTGTGTATTATGCATGGATTTATGGAGCCATAAAGTACTCAAGATTAAAAGGTAGTTGCGGCAGTGTGTGTGAGTGTGTTTTAATCTGGCCTGGCAGAGTGAGAGGGAGTTAGATGGTTATGTATGTGTCAGCAGCAGCAAAGCTCTGAAGCTAACGTAGAGGTTGGAATGGTCGGATGCAGGGTGACATTTATGCTTTGGCCAATCAGAAATCCAGCTTCCCCGGTGAATAACTTTTTAATGGCAAAAGATAATAAATGATGCCAACATGATTACACTTACTAATGGAAACTGAATACTCGGTACTGCCGAGTCTGATGGGTGTCATTAGTTTGCAGATATTTGGTGATTGAAAAGTAGGGCTTGATGATTTTAGAAACATATGTGAACATTGAATATTGACAATGTTACTTGCGATAAATAATCAGATATTAAAGTTCTGCCTTTCTGCTTCTTTTACAATACAGTTAGAATAGAAAACACTTAATTGCTGATGTTTTTAAATTTGACACAAAAGGCATTTCATTTATTTAGTTGCAGTTTTCTACCAATACTCTCTCACCTATAATAAAGTGCAGAATTGCAGTTTCTTTGCAATCAGGTATTATAAAAGTTTTGGTTTAGCCCCAAGGACAAATCAGAAAATCCCCAAAGTCATTGAGATTATTTATCTGTTGACCACAGACCACCTGTACCACATTTAATGACAATCTGTCCAATAGTTGAGGACAAACTAACATTACCTACCCTGAAGCTACGCCACCAGCATGAACTCATAAAGGAGTCCAGTTTGAAGCGACACAGGCCAAGATATCCCGGCTTTTAGTCCCAATATGGGTCAGGTTCCACGGCTCTTTTTAGTTTTGACTTATCGCTGTAAATGCGCCCAGCTGACTGTGTTTTGAAGAATGTCTTTTGACAGATGGGTTGCAGTTAAATCTGCATAATTCATAATACTGTAGGTGCATAAGTGCAGCGAATGAATCATGACACAGACAGTAACTGTTACTACTGATGAGTCATCTTCATATCTTCACTCAAAAACCACATTTCTCAGTCGAGAGCCACCTGAGTTTTGAATACTGACACCAGAGGCCTGTACTACGAATCCAGTTCAACATACCCTGGATATGTTTGAGTTATCTGGCTTAACCAACCCAAAACAAACGCGATCTCGCTAAGCGGTCCTACGACGCTGGTTATCAACTCGGTAACTTAAGCCAGGGTTTCTCTGTCCGACTGAGTGTGCGTTCACATGAAAGGGGCGGGGTTAGCAACATTTGACCAATGACAAACATGGACAAGCGTACTGACAGCGCAGCGTCATACTTCCTGAATGAAAAGAAAACTATAATATTAGACAAATATGAAGAAGTTAAACTTTAAACATCCATGACTTAAACACTTTATCCAGGATAAAAGCAACATAGTTGCACCTGCAAGGTGAATACAGAACAGCTGGTAAAAAAAAAGTGTTTGAATGCGTACATTAACAGGTTTATGATATCACTGCCCCGTCTAAGACACGAGTGGATCTGACTTTAATTACATTTGACTCGAGTGTTTCGTCAACTTAATGTGTTGCTTAAAATAATACTTCTGCATACAGTATGTGGCACTGTAAGTGTTGCACGGCCAGATACGAGAAGCTGACATATATGATACATTATGATGTGATATGAATGATAATGGGACACATCGACGTCTGCACTCACAGTGCCGCAGACTGTACGTAATGTTACTTTGATCCGGTTACTTATGTTGTGGCAGATATTTAAGTAAGCTTTCTTAACGCTAATGTTACATTAGTCAGATTGCTCTGAAGATGGGAGGTGATATTCTATTAATTTTCACGTTCACACAGTCAGTTGATTTTTGCCGGCCGTCTTTCCTGCAACGGCAGTTTTTCTGTATTTCCTCTATCCTGTAATATGACTTGAAAGCTTTAAACTCTGCACACTGAGCTCTGATTGGTCAGCAGGCGGTGCTTTCACTGAGTTGATCTCTTATCCTGGAACCTAACCTGCTCCGGAGCAGGTTTGCCGTTCAGCATCAGTTACCATGGAGATCTAGCCCGGTAAGAAGTGAACCAGCGTCGTAGGACCGGAAACCCAGAGTTTTCCCTGAAGTTACCTCGCTAAGCGAAAATCCGGCTTCGTAGTACAGGCCTCAGGAAATGATGTTTGTTTACACTTTAAATCAGTGTAAACAAAATACTGGACTGAAGACTGCAACTGATAAGTATGGGGATTTTTACTGCACAGTGACTACTTTCTCTTTAAGTACATTTTGATGTTACATACTTTAGTAATGTTTTGAATGCAGGACTTTTATTTGTACTAGAGTATTGACTCTGTGTGATATTGGTATCTTTACATTAGTCATCTGAATACTTGTTCCATCACTGGTTTCACTTTAAAGGGGCCCTATTATGCTTTTGGGGGGTTTTCCTTTCCTGTTATAAAGGTTTGTGTGCATGTAAATGGTCTTCAAAGGCTAAAATCTCTCCATCATACTCCCCCCTGTGGGGGAAACTTCTGTGTAGCAAATAGCAATGCAGGAGGAGTCACCGACTCAAAAGGAGACACGGGGAGAGCTGGAGCTTTGATGTCAAACACTGATGGGTTTATTTGGAGCTTCGGCCGGAGAATTCACAAAACAAGTCCAAGAGTCAGAGGTTCTGACTTCACGGTAGAGTTGCCACGTCAATTCTGAAGAACTCTCCCCCAGACCCGTGTATTTAGCTAGTTCAGAGAGAATAATCAACATTGAGCATAACAAGATAGAATCATAACACCTCTATCAGCTGATGCCAACAGGCAGGAACAGGGAGACAAAACACTGAGAGCACAGCAGCCAAGGTTACAGGTGCGTGTGCTCAGTCAGGACAGTATGAACTGATAAACTGGGTCAAAGTTATGGGCCTTGGAAAATATTTCCTAACATAACAGGGCCCCTTTAAATAAATTGTGATGTTATTCATAGTAAATACTTGCAGAATTTTTAGTTATGAGCATTTTCAGTGTGTGATATTAGTAGTTTTACTTCAGTATAGCATGTGAATGCTTGTCCGAGCACTGTGTTGAGTTTTGTGAACAGTGGAAATGTTACCTTGTAGCTCATGGTGTATGCGCTGCCGCACGCTGTGTTGATGTAATCGTTGGTTAGAAACGGGCTGCTGCCTTTACGTTTCCCCTCATGTCCTCTGTGGATAGAAACATATGAACACTGTCAGATCTTTATCTCGATAGATTACTTTAAATATTTCACTTCTACTTGCAAATCTACGAATAAAAGCCTTTTATCGTCTTATCTTTCAAATGGAAACAGAAGCTTTTCTTTTTCTTTTGTTTTTGCATTTCTCCGCTGGTAAAATTCAACTTAGTATATTAAAAGCTCAAGTAATGTGTTTTATGACCAAATCTGAGGTGCTTGTACATGTACTTCTACTACTTTCTTTACCATAATTTCACTATCTACTTCGACTCCTCGAGTGTACTTTCTGCATAACTAAACTTATTTCTGAGCTTTAGTTAGTTTACAAATTAATATTTACATAAGTTAGTCTCTCTCCGTTGGTGCGCTGGGCTAAAGCTAATGCTAATAATGCTAATGCGAGCAAATATGTTTGGGGGCGCGATCTCGCGGTAGCCAATCAGCGGTGAGGATCTCAGCCTGCCGTCACTGACATTCAACCAGAAAACATCAGCCGTTAGCTGTTAGCAGTTAGCACACAGAGCTCACAGCTCCTCATATCTGTTCAGAAACTGGACAAAAGTTAAAGAAGTACAAACCACAGACTATCTGTGTCATGGCGAATACAGTCGCTGGTTTATTTATGTCTGTAGGCCGTTGTTATGAGTGTGGACGGAGCATATACAACGTTAGCTTAGCCTGGTCGATCCGATCTTCATTCAGAAAACAAGCATTTTAAAAGGTTTTTCGCCTGCCGTCTTGTCTGCAGACTTGTCAAGCATTAATTCATGGTTTTTACTTACGTTACGGTGTGAACGCAGCATTAGTCTCTCTGCGTTTGTGCGCTGGGCTAATGCTAATAATGCTAATGCGAGGAAAATAAAATGGCGGCTTCACAAAACTTTTTGGGAGCTTTACGGGGCGTGGTTTGCAATCCGCCCAGCCAATCAGAAATGGGAACCTTTTTCTCCCATGAAAGTACCTGCTCTCTAGCAGGGACTGAAAAGGGGGTGAAAAGGTTCCCATGAACTAAGTTCTAGTTCCGGATTTTTTTGGTGTGAATGCACATTTTCCGAACTATATTGGAACTACACTGGGAAAAGTACTCCGGTGTGAAAGCGCCTATTGCATTTAAGAATATGTTTTATTATCTTACATCTCTTAACTCTAACCCATTGTAAACTGCATCTTGATTCATCTTATCTTTACTGATTTACTGTAGCAACCTTTCCTTATTTTATGACACCCACCTTCATCAGCCTTTTTGATAAATGGAATTGTCTTTTATTTTTGTATTAAATTCAATTGTATTTTATTAAATCAAAAACGGATAATTGTGGAAATGCCTCTAAAATAACAATAATCTATATTTGTATACCAAAATAACGAGTAGTATTGCACAGTAACACAGTACACATATCATAAGCTACATACAGCAGTGCATAGGTGCAAAATAAGACATTAAACACAGGCCATCCTCAGACACCATGCAATCAGGATCATTACAGCAAGATACCTAGGTCGATGCATTGATATATTAATTGATAAACATACAAACATGCATATGTATCTCTATGTTATTTATATATCTGTATTACCTTATCTAAGGTGTTGACTGTTGAGCTGTTATTCGTTGACCTGTGTTAAGTGATGATCCTCCGTTACCGCGCCGCCAACCGCGTCGTTTCCTCTGATGTATCGTCGCTCCGGTACCGTTCAGGTTGTTGTTCTCGCCGCCATGTTCCCGGTAAGTCTCGTGCCTCTCGGCCCCGCTACCACCGTCCGTGCGTCCGGTACGAGGCCTCTGTCGGTGTCCGGTGGCATTTGGATAAGCACGAACCGTATCTCTGCAAGTCCTCTCCTCTCCTCTCTCTCTCTCTTTCACCGCGCAGCCTGCAGCACCGAGCGTCAAGCACGCGATAACGAGACACGCGCGCTTCCTGCGAGACTTTCGAAATAAGAGCCGTAATTCTGTTCAATTCAGTGTCAGAATCAGAATCAGAATACCTTTATTAGTCCCACAGGGGGGAAATGTACATTGTTACGGCAGAAAAGAGACAAAGACAGCTTAATGTTACCTAAGCAAGCATAAAAAAAAAGTACTAAAGATAAAAAAATAAGATATTATAATAAAAAAGTTACACATTTTACAAAAATACACACCCTGTAACAGTTCTGAGAATTTAGCAGCCAGGTGTATATATTGCACAGTTTTTAACAGCATACATATATATTGAACATATTGCACATATTGCACTAGTTGGTATTTAACAAGTGGTGTTATAGTCTGTGTTGTTGTGTGTTTGGGGGGCCTACTATGGGCCGTGCTGGTTATATACATATAATTCAATTCAAGTTAGGCAAGTTTATTTATATAGCACATTTTCAAACACAGAGGCAATTCAAAGTGCTTTACATCATCATTAAGACTTAATAAGACAGTGTTTCTCAAAGTGGGGGGCGCAACAGGCGCGAGAGACCAGGAGGAAAAAAAAGAAAAATTATTGATTCGAAAATAATATGATACAGTACAGTACAAGTACGTCTGGGTCTCTGTGTTTCATTCAAGCTCGGCTCTGTGTGTGTGGAACGAGCCATTTTGTGTGCGTGCGCGAGAGAGAGAGAGAGAGCGCTCACCGGTACCGGAGATCGTTGTTGTTAGCTTCTGGTGCTAGCGAGCTACGCTAACGGATATAAGGAGCTTTTTCAACAACAAGGTGGAGGAGAGTCCTCTCCTGTCAGACTGAGAGGCTCAGTGAACTGAAGGACTCTCTGAGTGTTTAGATAGTTAACTTTAGTCTTAGTTATCTCAGTGGGTCTCAAACGGTTTTGGTTTAGGAACCGTTAAGCAGAACCGAAATTGTGTATTTTGTATGGGTACCCGGTACCCGGCATTTTCTTATCGGTTCTCATCTGGAACCGAGTTTCGGTTCCCAACCCTAGTCACGATTTAATGTAAACAATTATTTCCGAGGCACACGTTTATATGATCATTATAGTTATAAAAAAATAAGAGAATAAATAAAAAACAGGTATGAAATACTATATGACAGTAAAAAAAAATAAAGTTTAAAAGGGGAGTGATTTGTAAAATATCCATAAAGAAAAAGTAAATCTGTTTCCAGTTCTGTTTCAAATGGGTGTTGAGAGATGTATCCATAGATCTCTTAATGTTGCTCTCAAAGTGCACCAGATTGATGCTTTTAACTTCAATATTTAAAAAATAATCTTCCAGGGGGAGCTTGCCCCCAGACCCCCCTATGTGAGGTCCACTCCCCCCTTATAAAAATAGCACTTTACCCCTGCTTACACCTATATGCCGTGAGCTGATTATTGAGCCTTCATTGTAACAGTCGCGGGTACACTGTGTATGTGCGTGGGGATTGTTGCAGTAGAAAATTCCACTGTAGCGACCGGTACATTAATGGGAAACCCTAAATGTTTGAGCACCCTCTATGAAACATCAAGCTACCCCACAGCACCCCCCAAATGAAATCTCTGGCGCCGCCACTGAGCCTGCAACCCCGTTTTGAAGAAATGTGCAGTGCAAAACAGGCTCATTGCAGCCACTAATGCTGTGATAAGACACACTTTTGCCAAATATCAGCATTTTCTTTCTTTTCATTTTTTTGCACAGATTGCAAAGTGGCAAAGTATTATAAGTTATTGTTCTAGCAAAGGGATTTATTTTATTTTTTTGAAAGGAATGCTCACATTCATATTGATGTATTTTAATAAATGTTAACTTGGCCCATTACGTGACTATTTGTGTTGGAGGGCCTGACTTTTTTTTTTATTTCAGAAACCATTTTTGTTATATTCCATGGAATGCTCTTAAAGGTAGGGTATGTCATTTTGGAGAAACCAGCTCGAGTGCGCTAGAATTTGAAAATACACAACCGGAAAAAATCTGCCACTTCGTTACAGAGCCCCTCCTCCAACACACACGAACGCGCACATGACCAATGAGGGCACGAGATAAGTTTGTGCACAGATGGAAGGCTGACAGGCAGGTAGGCCATCCAGTTATTTTAGCCGGGCCGGCTCAGATGATTGGTCGTGCTTTTTAAGGCCGCTACACACCCACCTGAGACCAAAGAACGCGTACCGAAGGCGTCCCGATTTTACGTCAGCTTCGTCGCCTGCGTCGGCTGCGTCGGCTACGCCGCCCGCCTACGCCGCCCGCCTACGCCGCCCGCCTACGAACACACCGCAAATACTTCAGTCGACGAGTGGCAATAACTGTCCTTACCAGCAGGCAGCGGTAGTGTGAACAGCTAATAAGAGTGATTGCTTGGGCCGACTTTCTCTGACCTCCCGCGGCCGATTCAACATGTTGAATCGGCCGCGGGAGGTCAGAGAAAGTCGGGAGGTGTGAAAAGGTGCCGTAAAGAGACGACGGTGCGGGACACACAAACCTGAGTAGGGCGCCGCGAATGCCCGACTGCCTCTGACTCCCAAAATCAGGCTGGTGTGTCCGGGCCTTTACAGTACTACGGCTTCCACAGATGACATTTTTTTATGGATTTTTTGTCAAAGCACTTAAGATATTCATTGCTATCGGGATGTTAAGAGCATTCCATGGAATATAACAAAAAGTGTATCTCGAGCCGGTTTCTCAAACTTACCTGCACCTTTAACATCCCGATAGCAATGTATATATTAAATGCTTTGACAATAAATACATAAAAATATTTCATCTGTGGAAGCCGTGGCGCTTTAAAAAGCACGACCAATCATCTGAGCTGGCCCGGCTAAAATAACTGGATGGCCTACCTGCCTGTCAGCCTTCCATCTCGTGCACAAACTTATCTCGTGCCCTCATTGGTCATGTGTTCGTGTGTGTTGGAGGAGGGGCTCTGTAAGGAAGTGGCAGATTTTTTCCGGTTGTGTATTTTCAAATTCTAGCGTTTCTCCACCTTTAAGTGCCACCAGAACAATTCATACATACATACGCTTAGTCGCTTACAATACTTTTTTTGACAATTAGTGCAGTAACTATATGCTAAAATGCTGCAAAGTGGTAGCAACTTTTGCTTTATTCTCTATTAAACTATTACTAATATAGTAATATGCGACCAGGATGTAGTTTGTTTATATTATTACATTAGCTATTTACTTCTAGATATTGCATTTATGCTTGAATAACCGACATTTACAGTGCTGAAATGTAGTACGTGTACGTTGTGCTTACGTACAATCTTATGGTATTTGTACTCCATTTTTTGCCAAATTATACTTCTAATTCTCTACATTTGAGAGGCAGTTATTGTACTTTAACTCCACTTAATTGTTGACATGTCTGCACATGGGACCTTCTACATCAGGGGTGTCAAACTAAATGTAATCGCGGGCCACAGCATTATGGCTGCACTCAAAGGGCCGGTTGTAACTTTAAGACTATATAAGAATACATATATAAAAATATAAAATAATGTATTATATTACATTATTGCCTCTGCATTGGATTATTATCAGATAGGGTAATAACTTCATAATTAGCTACGTCTGAAAGCAGAAGTCTGGGGCAAATAATTGCAAGGCTCTTCAGTTAAACAAGTTAAACAACTGAACTGCTGAAACAACATCCATAACATTCATCTGCTACTTAGTAATTATTTATCTATTTAGTATTTACCTAATATATCATTCCAATAACTTTTATTTTTGTATTTACTATTTACTTGCACTATATTTTTCTGTTTATCTGTGTTTTTGTGTTGCTCTGTTGGAGAAGCCTGTGACCTAAGATTTTCATTGGCATAACTACACTGTAGCTATGTGTGTGTTTGCACATTGTAACTGCACATACTGTATTTTATTCGTATTTTATTTGTACAGGTATACTTGTATTTCAACCATATTAAATAAATGTAAATATTGCTATATTTGTAATGTTATTATAGTTTTCTTAAAATAGTTTTTTATCAGTGTTTTAGTTTTTGGTTTATTTTTACGTATGCACCAAAAACAACAAATTCCTCACGTGTTTACCTACTTGGCAATATACCCGTTTCTGATTAATTGTATATTTTTATTTTGAAGGGTAGAGGTCATAACCTGTCTGTTCTACTTATTTTTTTTAACTTGACCGACTTTTCTGCAGCAGCCAAGACACGCAATCTCTCTGCAGAGAAAGGAAGATGCACAGCAGAAACAGTACACACTACACACCAATCTGTCCTGTATTAATGATTGATCAATGATCAGATGACTAGTACCTCAGCTGTCCACATACTACAAGAGGGTTACTGTTGATATTTTTACAATGCAATGCAATATTTGTCTTTATATAAACTATGCATTTTTTTTTGACCAGGTGTTTATGTTTACTGTTGTAAAATGCGTGTGCATGTTTTCAAATTAATTAAAAAAAAGTTAATCATCAAGGTTTAAACTTCAAAAGACAAAAGTGTAGTTCCCTGACCGGGAATCGAACCCGGGCCGCGGCGGTGAGAGCGCCGAATCCTAACCACTAGACCACCAGGGAAGGATACATCGCATTGAAACCGATTCCATTATATAGTTTTAACAGTTTATCACTTATGATTACAGATAATTTCAAATTAGATAGTCTTTGGTTAGTGCTGCCGTGTTCACTGTCTTCATACTTCCTCATGTTCTGGACAGTGGATAATTACGGCAGCTGGTAAAGTAACGGTTTTTTTTCTTTTTCGGACGACTTCATTTATTTATGCATTTATTTATTTATACTTATGTCATGTTCCGTCCTCCAGAAGGCTTAGCTTGCAAGCTAGCTGCTGCTTTACTTAGCCTTTCCCTATAATTTAGTAACGATGCGTCTGTCGTTGAGTGTTTTTCCGGTATATACTCTGAAACAATACTGACTAGATTATGGAAAAGAAAACAAAAGTCATTACAGTCATATTGTATAAATTCCCATTT